TCACTGATCTGTTCACTACAGCAGAACATTTTCCCATTTATTCTCAGCTTCACTCAAGTGAAATACATTTTATGTACTTTCAGTAGGCTACTTAAGTAAAAGTACATGCTCCCGTACTTTAACTGGAGTAATAATTTGACAGAGCTACTTTTACATTTATTGGTGTAATGTTTGACCAGTAGAATCAGTACTTTGTCCACTGCTCCTCTGTCTTCACTGTCCTCATTCATCATGTCCTCAAACTGTTCTTATCTGACACAAAGATGACATGTTTGTGTACCACATGTTTGTGTACCACATGTTTGTGTACCACATGTTTGTGTACCACATGTTTGTGCACCACATGTTTGAGTACCACATGTTTGTGTACCACATGTTTGTGTACCACATGTTTGTGTACCACATTTGTTTACCACATGTTTGTGTACCACATGTTTGTTTACCACATGTTTGTTTACCACATGTTTGTTTACCACATGTTTGTGTACCACATGTTTGTGTACCACGTGGTAAAGGTCAGGGTGGTAGTAGCTGAGAGTCATCCACAGCCCTGCTCTGACTGGACCTGGTTCTGGACGGGTAACGTGTCAGAATGTGTTCTGTGGTTTGTTTCCTCTTCAGAACGTAAACGTGTATTTTATTGATTGATCTTCTCAGAGTGCTCCTGCCTGCTGTCGGAACCACAGCCCGGCCCAGACTGGACGGATGGTGTGAAAACAAACAGAACACCTGCGCCCGTCTGGAACTGGACCGTACCATCTGAGGAGAAGGTAGGGGGGTTCTTCTTGGTGCGGCTGGGGACACCTTCTGTCCCTCTGGCGGTCTGATGGTCTGACCATGCAGCCAGAACCCGAGGCTCGGCCCGCAGCACCTCCTCTTCACAGACCAGGAGTTGTTTATCAGAACCTTTTGGGTTTGGGCTGCTGGAGCGGACAAACCGCAGTGGTTCCGACAGCCAACCCCGCTCCGTATCTCCAATAAGTACAACAGAGCGGAGTCTGCGGAGCTCAGACCCAGCTGGACCGGGTCCTCAGGTTCTGTTGTTGTCTTTGTGCGGGTTTAAACATGACGGTTCTGACTGTGGTCCTGCTGCTGGCGGGTCTGTGGAGCATCATGGACCGCTCCACTGCAGCATCCTCATCGTCCCGTAAGTACCTTCCGTTAACACGCACACGCGCGCGCGATAGCATTCTGGCTAATAGAGGGTCACTGCTGAGGCCGAACCGAACCGAGCCGCAGACCGGGGCTCATTTAGTCTGCACCTGAGTCAGACCAGGGGAGCAGGACCAGTCTGGACCCGAGGAGCAGGCCGGAGCCTCGGAGTGAAATGTAGCTGCGCACATTCATCATGTAGTACGGTACTTCAGGGGGGCCTGGAGCTTTGCTATTGTCTTTAGTTCATCTGTTTGTCTGTTAGCAAAATATCTAAACTGAGTTCTTCAACACTTTATTTCACTTGGATCAGTTTATCTCAGTTAACAACAAACAAAACGACAGAACCAGTCTGATTATTTTAAATTTAAGAAAATAAAGAACCTTTAATTCAGCCTGTAAATATAGGTGAAGCTGCAGATTCACTTTACTGCAGAGGTGCCCAAAGTGGGGCCCGCGGGCCAAAATTGGCCCACAAAACCTTTTGATTTGGCCCACCAACAGTTGTTCTGGTTATTAGATTGTAGTTATGTTCAGATTGAATATAAAATTCAAATAACTACAAGAGACATTTAGATTAGATTTAAGCCCATATGTAGATTTGCACACCTTAAAAGGCCCCATATACCCAGTGTTTTAATTATGAATAGTTTCATGAGCCTTTGCTGACATTGCATTGACTTTGCATACATTGAATTTTCTCCATGTCCATGGGCTAAACCACACTAGCTCCTAGCTTAATCATAATAATAAAACAAGTTTATGTAAGAAGTATTTGCATTTCTTATATTATTGCATTAGGTTCGCGACCCTCAGATCGATTTTAATTTTGCAAATTGCACCTTCTCATGCGCCCCTCCATATCATCACACTTCTTTTTGAGCCCAACGACTTCTTCTTTCAGTTCCAAGACGGTGGTGCGTATATTAACAACCTCATCGGACCAGGTCGACAAGCCGTCCTCCACTTCTTTAACGCTCTGTTTCACGTGGTCCAGATCTGCGCGCAGTAGCATTGTGCCGTTAGCCACCTCCGCTCTCTCACCGCTTGAAGCTCCCCTTTAATAAGAGTAAACTCTTCAGCCAAAGCCGCTTTTTTTTCTCCAATTTGATCACAGCTGAGAGATCGGTTTTTATAGCGGCAAGAATGTCAGACTTCAAGGAGAGTGTGTCCGCCTCGCTGCGGGAGGGAGAGGAGGGTCCCGAAAGTCCGGTTTTAGCTGCAGTCTGCTCCAAGGCTGCATCAGGCCTAGCAGTCGTCGAGCTAGAATGTTTGCCTTTCCTCGAGTTTGTCGCCATTCTTCTACTCTTCCAGGAAAGAATCAC